AAATAAATAAATAAAATATTAATAGATGGAAGGTTTGCATTCTGCATTGCAACCATTCTGCATTGCATTAATAGACAGAAGGTTGAATTTCTTCTATTGCTTCTCTGTATTTTTGAAAATTCTAAATACGTAACATTTTTGTGAACAAAATGGGATGCCTGGGTAGGGAGGAAGTAAATACCTGCTTTTTTATGAAAGGAAAACAAGAACTAATATTAAGACCAATTTTGTGCCAGGTGTGTCTCATTTATTTCTTGTTAGTCCCTTGAGGTAGTTCCCATTTTGATTATCCTATTTTTGCCTCTGAGAACACTGAGGCTCTGAGAAGCCCAGAGTCACACAGATGGTAAGTGATGGAGCAGGACTCACCTCAGATCTGTCTGCCGTCACACCATTCTCTTTGCTGTCAGTCATGTCTGCAATGAGTGTTTCTTGCTTTTTAAAAAAAATTTGATGTAGCACTTGGCAATTCCCTACATCTATTTAAATTGGCAAAATTATGTGGAAAAAACCTTTTCTGATTTATTAAACAATTACAGATTTTGAATTTAGGATAACGTTTGCTATTTTAAATTTCAGTACAAGGTGTTTTGTCAAGTAGCAACTCTGTATTGGCGTTATTTAACACTTAGATAACAGAGTGGAATTAGGTGAATTTTAGAGAATTGGTGATTCCAATTCCAATTAGTGATTTCCTTTATGGCCCTAATCTGTGATACTCTGTTTTTTTACTAAGTAATTTGATAAATATTTAACTCATATCATCAAATTTTTATTCCTTCCTAAGAATTTTCATATCTGTTCACATTAAAAAAAATCTTTCAGATCATGTATACTCACTTTTAGTTAGGGAAATATTATCAACAAATCATATCAAATTCTTGGCTTTTCATAAAAATTAGATGCAGAACATTTTTTACTTTATTTTGCTTATTTTCTATAAACTCATGCCTAAACAAAAATAAATTAAGCATATAAATACATAAAACCAAGGTGACTTTTGATTAATTTGAGTTCTGAGAGATGGCAGGTGAAGTGATTTTCTTATGAAATTAGGCCTTAGGACTAATAAGGAATAAAGAAAGACCCATCCTGATTTTTATAAACTATGATCTCATTATATAGTGATGTGACATTTTTATATCCTTAAGTGAAACATTTTTCTTATTGATGAAATAAAGATGTTTATAATTTTTAAACTTTGTTTTGGATACACAGCTCACTGTTAATGAAGCGGCTGCTCAGCTCTGTGTGAAGGATAATGCCCTGCTGACAAGAAGAGATGAACTGTTTGCCCTGGCTAGGCAGATTTCTCGAGAAGTCACCTACAAATACACCTACAGAACCACCAAGTAAGTGTCTAACTAATTGACAGGATTTTGCATTGCTTGATAGAAGTGGAACTTAAAACACTACCCACTGATAGAATATAAGCATTTTTCAAAAAGTAGAAGTGTGATGTGATTGTGGTTCTATAAAATTAAAGAGTGAAGTGACTTTTCAAAACATTGCTAATGTGGTTTTTGTTGTTTTAATTCTTTTGTCTTTCTTTTGAAAGGCAGTTCCCTAGCACTGTAGCATTGTTCTGGTAGTGGTTTTAGACATTCTTCTCACACAGATGCTTTGGTTTTGAGTGTGATGATGAGATTTAGTTATTTGTATACCCACTAACTATATGAACTTGTTGAACTCTTGGAGGAAATAAAGTGGTTCCTTTTGCAAGGTGTTTGCAGTCTAATGAGATTAGTTGACTAGATGAAAAGACTCCATTGGCCAGTATTTAAGGGAGAATTGGAAGATGCCAGACTATATGGAATATGGACATGTGTTTGAAATATGAAAGTAGAATATGGAATATTTGAAGTAAAACACATGTTGAAAAGCAGTGGTGGTTTTAAAATTTAATATAAACACATCTTACTATTCTTCATCTCATCTTCACTTAAATCCTAAGCAAGATGGCATAGTACCATTTCAGTTTTAGTCACTTGTTCCCCGTGGACCCCGATTTCTAGTTCACCATCAGTTGTGTCCTGCTTCTTCTCTGAGTAGATGCGCATGACCCCTGGCGTTAGAGTAATTGAATGTGTGTTGAAAAACCACATCCTGAGCACCCTCCCTGGTCCTAATAAGTACAGGGGATGGAGTCTTGGAATCCAAATTTTCACAAGTGGCCCAGATTATTCTTGTGCCTATTCAGGTTTGAAAAGCCACTGTTGAGGCATTTACTGTCATTATGTCCCCTAACTCATAGCAGCTTCCTTTGCTACCTTGCCTTAAGAGCCCACATATTTACAAACTGACACAAAGTAAAATTATGCAGACTAAATGAACAGGCTAAGAATATTATAGAATTATTTATAAGATTTTTTTTAAGTTGGATAATCGAGAGCTGATATAGTGATTTTTTTTTTATTTTTTCACTGTATTACACAAAATTTTCAGCCTGCTTTATTTAAGTAATTTAATCAAAGTAATACATGTACATGATTTAAGGAATCCTGTAGTGCACAGGGCTTTACTGAAAACTCAGCAATTTCCCTGCCCCACCCCTGCCTCCTTCTGAATACCACACCCCAGAGGCAACTGCTTTCAACATTTTTTAGCTGTTTCTTATAGTATTTACATTTATATACTTACATATATTTTTAAATAGGGGTGCTTTTTTTTTTAAAGATTTTATATATTTATTTGACAGAGACAGACACAGCGAGAGAGGGAACACAAGCAGGGGGAGTGGGAGAGGGAGAAGCAGGCTTCCTGCGTAGCAGGGAGCCCGACACGGGGCTCGATCCCAAGACGCTGGGATCGTGACCTGAGCCAAAGGCAGACACTTAACAACTGAGCCACCCAGGCGCCCCTAAATAGGGGTGCCTTTAAAAAGTTAAAAATATATTTAACTTAAAAAGTTAATATGGTGGTTTCAGGATAAAATGGTGGCTCAGTCGGTTAAGCGTCTGCCTTCGGCTCAGGTCATGATCTCAGATCATGATCTCACATCCCCGCTCGACGGGGAGTCTGCTTCTCCCTCTCCTTCTGCTTCTCCCTCTCCCTCTGCTGCTCCCCGTTTGTGTTTTCTCACTCTGTCAAATAAATGAATAAAAAATATTAAAAAATATATATATTTTTTTAAATATATAACATGTTTACATAATTTAGAAGCCAAAACTATGTGAATACGTAATATAAAAAGTTGCACTCCTGTTCTGGTCTCTTTTTAACTTCTTCCTCCTCAATAGAAGTAGTTTTATTAGTTTCTTTTTCATCTTTCCAATGTGTGTTAATGCACTTGCAAACAGATATATATTTTCTCATTTTTTACCTTTTTTCCAAAAAAAAAAAAAATTGGTATGTGTCTGCATTATTTTATATTTTGCTTTTAACATGTCTTGGAGATCTCGTCATGGTAGTATGTACACATCTTCATTATTTTTTTATAGCACCATGGTATTGCATTGTGTGGATGTACTATGATTTTTTTTTTTTAGTATGAATTTTTTTTTAAAAATTATTTTTAAAAGATTATTGTGAAAGAGAGAGAGAGAGCACACGTGCGCAAGCAGGGGGTGGGGCAGAACAAGCAGATTCCCCACTGGGCTCAATTCCATGATCCCAGGATCGTGACCTGAGCTAAAGGCAGATTGAGCCACCCAGGCGCCCCACCATGATTTATCTAACCAGTCCCCTATTGATGGATACTTGAGTTGTTTCTAGTCTTTTATCATTATAAATAGCATCATAATAAATAATGTCATACATACTTTGTTGATTCTGAAATGTACTTTTTTTTACATTTTAACATCTTTCACTTTGAGGGATAATTTATAATTGATGGCTTATTACAGTTTAATTGGCAGTAGTATTTCATATATCTGTAGGTACCTCTGGGATAGAGTCCCAGCAGAGAGATCCGTAGGTCAAGGGAAAATACATCTGTAGTTTCAATAGATAGACAACATGCATTTGAATCTTACGTAGCCTTAAGCATTCATCTTAAATGGCCACTTTGGTCATTTTATCCTGAAGTGTTCCTACTGATCCATAAAAAGATACCATGCAATACAATCCTCCTTGATTTTTTTTTTTTTCCCTTTTTCATTATGTGATGATCATTACATGTTTATTGAGTACTTATTTTGTGGGGAAGTTCTTAGGTAGTGGCCTTTTAAAATGTGTAATATAATGGTGTCTGCATATTTCCCTAATGTTAATTTAGAAATGATGAAAAGTCTTTTTTGTTATGTCAGTGTTCTTTATGAATGTCTTATTTCTGGTGTAAGGGTTTCAAGGGTATATGTTTTGGTGGAAGTTCATAGATTGAGATGTCTTTAGAATAAAATTTGTTACTTTCTCAAGTTTTTCTCTCTCCCATTCCATTCAGGTCAAAATGTGGAGAAAGAGATGAATTATCCCCGAAGAGAATTAAAGTGGAGGTAAGATTATGCATGTTTTCTTATGCTAATAATATTTGCTAGTTCAAACTGAAAAAAAGGATGTTCCATAAACAAATGAAAAATGTGAATGAATTGTGGAATCTTTAAGACAATACAGAATTTTGTTGCTTTGAAGTATCTAATTTGAATTAGAATACTAAAGAAATTCTTAGAAGGAAACAATAATGAACTTGATGTCCAGTCAGTTTATCACAGGTTGATTTGTCAATAGGTGTTTCTTACAGATTTAAAACTCTCCTGGTTAAATGATTTTTTTAATAATCTTATGTATATCATTAGTCATCTTATCAAATACATTTATTTTTTTTAAATTTGTATTATTATGTTAATCACTATACATTACATCATTAGTTTTTGATGTAGTGTTCCATGATTCATTGTTTGCGTATAACACCCAGTGCTCCATTCAATACGTGCCCTCCTTAATACCCATCACTGGGTTCACCCATCCCCCTACCCCCCTCCCCTCTAGAACCCTCAGGGTTTTTTTTGTTTTTGTTTTTTAAAGATTTTATTTATTTGACAGAGAGAGACACAGCAAGAGAGGGAACACAAGCAGGGGGAGTGGGAGGGAGAAGCAGGCTTCCCGCGGAGCAGGGAGCCCGATTTGGGGCTCGATCCCAGGATGCTGGGATCATGACCTGAGCTGAAGGCAGACGCCTAACAGTCGACTGAGCCACCCAGGCGCCCCAGAACCCTCAGTTTGTCTCTCAGAGTCCATAGTCTCTCATGGTTCATCTCCCCCTCCAATTTTCAAATACATTTAGAGGAGCTAAAGGTTATTTATATTCACGATCTGAGGTAAATGACAATTTAGTAGCTCCAAGTAATGGAGACTTTCCTATAATCAAGCCTCTTTTAGAGGATCATGTTGAGGCTGAACTTTTTTTTTTTTTTTAAGATTTATTTATTTGAGAGAGAGAGAATGAGCAGGGGGAGGGGCAGATTGAGAGGGAGACAAGTGGACTCCCCACTGAGCTGGGAGCCTGACGCAAGGCTCAGTCCCAGGACCCTGAGATTATGACCTGAGCCAAAATCAAGAGTCTGATGGTTTAACCGACTGAGCCACCCAGGTGTCCCGAGATTGTCCTTCTGATTTTAGGCCTGCAAGACGTAAGGTGGGAGTTAAGGAAGAAAAAAAATACGCTTTTCTTAGGGTTGTCAGAACTATAGAATGGTTTCAAAACTACTGTTCCTTAATTTGGATTGAATGTCTGTTTTAAAGGCCAGTCTGCAGCAGAGTAGAAATTTGAAGTCTGAGAGCTCCTTCCTTTTTTTTTCTTGGGCAGGGGATGGGGATCTGTACTCTCTTAGACATCCATTATTTTCAAGTTAAAGCAGATAAGCTGTGTTTGACTACCCTAAATTCTTCTCATTCTTTTAACTAAGTATCTGTTTGCATATAGTCTTTCAGTCACACCAAAGCTACAAATACCTTTTTTTTTTTAAAGATTTTATTTTTGAGAGAGAGTACGCATATATGCGCGTGCACACACACACACACACACAGGCGGGGTGGGGGGCGGGGCGGAGGGAGAAGCAGACTCCCCGCTGAGCAGGGCGCCCCCCCCCCCGCGGGACTCAATCCCGGGACCGTGGGTTCATGACCCGAGCCGAAGGCAGACACCTAACCAACTGAGCCACCCAGGTATCCCCGCAATTATCTTGTAAAAATGTAAATCCCTTTCTCACTTTCTCACTTAAATCTTTCCAGTGGCTTTCTACTGTACCTAGGATAAAATATACACTTGTAGAGACGTCTAAGACCCTACATGATCTGACTCTGACTTTGTATCTCTAACCTCATCTGCTACCACACTTCCCCATTCTTACTGTGTCCCAGCTACACTGACCCACTTTCTGTTGCTGGAACATGCCAAACTCTTTTTGCCTCAGCACTCACTGTTCCCCTACCTAGATCTTTCTGTAGCTCTTCACATGGCTTCAGCTCATAGCTGAGAGTTTCCTCTGACTTCCCTGCCTCCCTTTCTAAAAGGGCACCCTTACCTCAAAATCACATTTAGGCTCATTCTCCTGGTTTGTTTTGTTTGTTTTCATAGAACTTACTGGTATCTGAAACTATTAGTATTTGTTTTTATTATCAGTCTGCCCCATTGGATGAGCATACAGCTCTTACCTGTCTACTACTTTATATTCAGATTTGATAATAGCGTCTTGCAGTTAATAGGCACTTAATAAGATCAGGTGAAAGAGTGAATGGCTATGGTTAAGCATCTTTGACTTCTTAAAATAAAAACTTTACCCTAAAGCAGTGGTTCTCAAAGAAGAGAAGAAGTTCTCTTAATCTCTTAAAGGCCACACTTTAAAAAATTGTGCTTATATTTGTAATCAGTGGTCACTGTTGGCTCTCGAGTAATGTTTAAGATTCGTTAGCATCTGATACCATGCAAAAAAATTGCTGAAATTATCTAAAAGGCCATTAGAAGATAATCTAACTAGTGATGACATAGTTTTATCCTACTGCATCCCAAGATAATGAACAAGAGAGGATCCCTGTAGATTCAGTGACTCTGCCACTGAAAGGGAAGGCAGGTGAACATAGAGGCTGCTAAGAAGGCATGTGCCATCCGAGGATTTAGAGGAAAGAAGGTACAAAACCTGCCCAGGGACCAGGAAGAGTAGTCAGCTGCTGGGGTAGAAATTCTGTCCGCCTCTTTCTCACCGTTGGCCCTCTATGTAATTCTGACTCGGCCTCTTCTCACATTTAAGCCCTGGTTTCCTTTTGTGTCTGTGTTCAAAGATCACATTTAAGTTTGTACGTTTAAGTTTGAGATCTCTTTGAGCTGTCATTTTTTCTTGTTAGGCTGTATTGATAAGTCTTTCTGACCTCCTCGGTCGCCCTTACCGAAATTTAAGCAAAGTGTTTTTGTATCCAGCGCAATGTTTTGAGTTTCCTTTTAGTAGCTCAGAGTGTTGGGTTATAGCATTAGGTGTGACCCTTCTATTCCTTTAAATATGTTCCACTAGAGATAATTGATAGTTCTGTTTGGTTAGTTTATTGTTTTACTAGCATTCACAAAGCCACTTGAACAGTTCTGGACTTAGAATTAAGATAATCGGTGTTTCCTTTTTCTGTGAATAACAGTTCTAACCCTTCCTAAATAAGACAGTGACTCATCAACCCAGGCTACTTTAAATGCTCTTTATAGACTCTAAAGTCTTGATTTTGTTTCCCAAAAATAAATAGGGACTTGAGCTTTTAATTTAGGACAGTAGTTTACTTTTTTTTGCTGGTTTGTTTTAAATTTTGTTTTGTTTTTCAAAAGCACTGATGCATTGCAGGGCAACAGTATCTCTCCAGAGTGTGTGTGTGTTATGCATGTGTATACCTACACATGGATCCAGTGTAATCCTTTGCAAAATATACAGTAGTGGCATCAATCCTTGTCTAAATTCTCTCTGTACTGTAATTCAGATCTGAGATACCAGAGCTACTCATTTGATTCCAGAAGCTGACACTGAGGTAGTTTGTGTTGTGTAGGATTGTTACTCCCTTAACGACATTTCATCAAGTATTAGTGTGTTGTTTATACCTACTTTCTATGTGGCTACCAGCGAGGGCGAGAATTCCTGGCACTAGAAGAGATTAAGGGAGGCTCCATTGAGGAGATATTGTTTGAGCTGGGTTTTAAAAGAAAGGTAGGGTTTCAGAAGGTAAAGATGTGAGGTGGAGGGGCATTACAAAGATGGACTGGCATGGGCAAAGACAGAGGAAAGAAAATACTGTGCATGTTTAGAGAACAATGAGGCCAATTTGTTCAGAATTTATGACTGACACCAAGGGCTTCATAAGTAAAACTAGAAAGATTTTAGAATTCTTTGAACATACTGTTTCTTATTTCATTTGAATTACTAATTCTCTATTAACAGAAAATGCTTATAAAGATAAGCTTAGCACATTATAAATTATAGCAGATTACTAATTACTAGGCCCAAGTTAATGAGAATTTTTTCTTTCATTTTCATTTTTCTAAAATCCTTGACAATAACCAATTAGCATACGTGCCAAATTGCTGACTTTTCATCTTAAAAAGATAATTTTTGCAGTGAACAAAAAGAAATGTAATGTCCAGTAGATAAAATGGAAATGACATCAGAGATAGACTTGTAAGGGAAAGGAACCTTTTCTTTCCTGCCATTACCAGTACATTAGGACACACTGACAAAACTAGCACTTTGTTCAGGCTCAGTAAGGTGTGTTCTTGTTGCCAAAGGCTGTAATTTCCTGGTCTGTTTGTGAAGGGTTGGGTAGAAGTTTTAAAATCCTTGTCTAATTTTTTCCCTCTTATTATGTAGCAGGTTGTTCCCCTTAAAGGATAGTTAGCTATGTATTTGATTGCTTTTGTTTTTGTTGTTATTGTTTAATATAGGATACGTATTGTAGTGAAGTACTCAGGATAACCTGTTGTCCTTAAATAATGCCCCTTCCTACAGCGAATGTTAGGCATTAGGAAACAGAGAGATTTTGACCTTTCTATAATTCTGAGAATAATGAAGTAGACACAGAGGAAAAAGCCTGCTAGCTTGGGAAGGCCGTAGGGTAACCCATCACTTGGAACGAAGCCTCTAAGGAAGGCGCCTCTTCAGCCCTGTATGTTAGTTAGTAAGCGAGGTTTGGGAATATTTCTCCTGTCCGGGCCGGATGAATAGCTTGTCCACCTGGAATACAACCCTTGGTGTGGATCCACTTTCAGCTAAAATGAAAATGAATTATGTTTGTTGTTTTCTTTTTCATCAGAGACCTCAAATCTAGCTCGGGGACACTTGCAAAAATAACTTTTTTATTGAATCTGTTAATGCCTGTCCCTGCTAGGCGTTTGAAATTCATTATCACAAACCTTGTTTATCCTTATATGGAGGCTTTAGGATTTCCATTTATAGCCAAAGAGACACCCAGAGAGTCTCAGTGACTCCCTCAAACTGCCACATTGCTCTCTGGTGGCAGAGCCAGGCCTTCA